GTGTGTGATCAAAGTTATAAACAGAGAGGTTTTGCTGTGGCCATGTGAGATTAATACTCATCTGCTTATGTTAAGGTCTGTTCAGGTTTGGCTGGCACTGTGTTCAGGTAAAATAAGAAGTGCTGATAAGGGAAGGTGGAAATGAAGAACAGTTTCATTAGGTCATAACTGTAAAACCTTTTAGCTTGCTTGGGCTTCACTGAGAAAAGAGGGATTGTTTTGCTCCACTGGTTTGACTGTTGCTGAGGGTGGCCATAGGGTGGCCTGGGCTGCGAGCTGGACGTGGTTTGAGCACGTGATTACAGCCAAGCTGTAATCTGTCCATATAAGCAAGTTCAGACCTCATGCTGGCCTGATGTGCTCAAGCCCACCTCCAGCCTTTGCTGCTTATTTTTGTGTGAAAGCATATTGCACTATAAAGAAAGCCTCTGCTAACTCACCTGCGTGTACATACATGCCCAAATAAGTTTATATTTGGAGAACTGAGGAACTGTAACTTGTAAGAACTCATTCAATTAGTCAGTCACTTTGAAAGTGTTGTCATCCATGGATTAAATAAGCTACTTTGCAGCCAAACTAGTTCGATCAATAGATCAATGCCAAGTGTTGGTTTTTTCGTTGAGCAAATTGCTTGTTGTACAGACAGCATTTGCCTTTGGTGGTTTCTCTTTTCAGGTGGGAATGTTAAAAGTGCAGTAGATTGACACCTGCCCTCAATATGCCTAGCTTTTCAGACAAGTGATTAGAAACACAATTTACTTTTTTCTAGAACATGGTTGTCCAAACTGATGGCTTACCTGGGCCTCAGTGAGTGAGCAGGAATTGGACTGCATATAAAGTATGTAATAAATGTAATGTGTTTAAGTAACAAAGCTTATTTCTTTATTATTAAAACATGAAAAACAGAGAGAAACAAAAACATAAAGTCAGTGGGATGTTTGACCTTGTTTTGTTGAAATTAATCCATCAGGCTGTTTCAATGGCACTGGTTGCCATTCTTGGTGAGTTCTCAAGGTGTTTATCAGAGACTTTGGATGAAATATGCTTTATCCTTGACAATAATTGCTCACAAATGTATGTACTACTGAAAAGTGACGACATGAATAAGGTGTGACTGTGAAGTGAGGGATGTTTTTCTCTGGTAAAAGAAGGATTGTGAAAGTCTGGTGAAGAGATGTGACAAAATTTTTTTGAGTTAGATGTCTGATCGTATCTCTATACTCTATTTCCATGTGAAAATTTGCAAGTAGTGTGTTTATGTTGCATGAAAATGGAGTTGCAAGTATACAATAAAATGATGATTTTTTTGGTAGTCTTGAAACCTATCCTCAAATTTATTTGTCAAAATGGAAAGCGTGGCTGCATATTTTTCACCGTTCACAGGACTGTGTTTAGCCACTGTGTCAAAATACACGAAACTGTCTGCCATAATTTGAGCTTGCCATAGTTTAAGTTTCATTTCAAATGCTGGTATTGTCTGAAACATAGCACAGAAAAGGTGATTTTCACCCTGGAGATGCATGTTTGACTCATTTAAATGCGCTGCCAAATCCACCAAAAAGGCTAGATCTGTGAGCCGTTTTTAATCCGTATTTAATCTAAATAACTGCTGTGAAACTTTGCATCTACGTGGCTAACCACTGTTCACTGCAAAAGAACAAGTTGGGTGTACTATGCAGTTTTGCAATTGTTAACTGTTGCAAGAGATTGCAGCAGATAGTGCTGCATGTTACTACAAGAAAAAGTAAATGAAGCACAAATCTTCTACAAGATAAGATTGCTTTATAGTACATTTTATTTCAAGTATAGTTGAGACATTGTTTTCAACTTCATAGGAACCAAAAGTATACAATCTTATTAATAAGTATGCATTATATAAAAATATGAAATTAAATATAAATTATAAATTTAAATTATAAAAGTAAATTATATTATTATTATATACATTCTGTGTTATTATATAAATGTTATGTACATGCAAGAGTTAAATTGTACTTCCTTAACTGAGACAAAATGAAAACGGGGGGGGAAATTTACTGATGTCAATTTTCACTATGTGGTTTAGGGACAGTCCTTTGGATTTGTCCCTGAAAGAAGCACATCAGGATTCTTGGCTGGCAGACAGAAGAGACTTAGAGTTGGTCTTGTGTCAGATGAAGCTGTGAAGTTGATGTGTATATCGTTCTTCTAGCTATAATGCCTTCTGCACCTTCACTCTTTGTTCCTATAGGAGTGAAAGGTTCATGGTGTTTGGGGAGCATCCTCTTTGGAGATCAAGGTGCATTATGTTGTTAGATAGAGTGCTCTCAGCTCGCGCTGCCATCCAGAGGAGTTGAGATGGAATTCAGCCTTCTGCAAGAGATTTAATACGTTGTAATTTAGCTTTATGAGCTAGGAATTGAAGTTTTCTGTTTCTTGACTGAGCACCCTGCAGCATTAGTATAGCATTTACAGCTAACTGTAACTCTCAATTGCAGTTAGATATTTATTTCATGTAGTGAAGGTCATTTTTCATACCATTGTTAGCATTTAATGTAGCATTACTGTGACTTTGTCCCACTCTGTAATTTTCTGAATGCCCCAGCCAATTCATTTAAAAAAAAAACCAAAAAACATTACAGATAATTAAAAATGCAATTAAAAAAAGAGTGTCATGCTGTCTTTGGGCAATTGAAGCTGCACTAATCAGAAGGAACTAGGATCTCTTTGGGTCAAGCAAGGTAGCTCAAGATATTTATTATGCTGGTTCAGTGGGCAGCAGGTGATGAAAGTACAACCGTGGGCCAGCATGCTAGTGCCCATCCCAGTGTTTCAGGTACAGAGGCAAACCAGGATTTTGCTGGTCCAATTGCTGAATCACTGTGACTTGAATAAGCAAGCTGCAGAAGCTTTCTGAACAGTGACTTCTTAAATGTCAGTCATACCCTACATGTGTGTCAATTAGACACTGTACCGGTGAAGTGAAATGGAGAATGTTGTGAATAAAATCTATGCTCTGTCATCCTCCATTTGTAGATGTAAAGTGATAGAAATGGAACTGTGATGGTAAAATGGATGATGAGATTCACATTCTTTTCTATTCATTCTTGCAGAAAATAGACAAGTGGTCCTTTGGTGGGTTTGCACCAAATTATACTGGTGGAGATCAAGCACTGAAATTCATTTTCTCTGAACTTCCCACATGCTATGATCTGATCAGTAGTTTCAAGGTCAGTAGTTACAAGACTTCAGCTTGCATTTCATTCTTATTCTGCTTTGTTCCATTCAGTGATGATTTCAGCAGTAATTGAAGGTATATGTGAAGACTTTGCGGTCACTGTCATTCCCCCTAAAGGGGGAAGAGAATCTTTCTGCAGCAACCAGAACCAAATGTCATTCAAGCTGGACATTAATTGTGGGGTTCCAATCCAACGAATAAAACCCTGTGGGAATAAGAGTCTCATTCTCTTGAGATTCTTAGGAATATCAAGCATGCAAGCAAAAGATGAAAACCTGGCTAGCTGCAGATTTCAGGATACAAACTCTGTGTATCTTGTACTTTGAACAGAGTAACATATGGGTCACTGCAGCATTGCCATGGGATGTTTCCCATTCTCCCCACCCAAAGATTCCGTGTTCCCTTTCTCTGCTGACACTTACTGTGGCAGGACTCCTACTTCCTTTGATTCCTGGGCTTCTTTGTGGACTTGTCACGCCTGCTGAGAAATGGTTGAAGATGAGAACAGATGAGAACTGCATTGTCCCATACTCCAGAGGGAAACAGCTGTGCAACTCTAATGATAGAACTAGAGAGGTTTAGGGTACAGGAGGTTGTGCAAAGCACTGAAGAATCCCTGCTGCTTGTTGCATCCATGTACAGCTGCCACCACCTACATAGCGTGCTCCCTAGAAATCCCCCAAGTGTGGTTTTATGTTGTGCATACAGTTCTACTCTGGGAGCCAAAAACAAGCGTGGCAAAGTGATAGTGTGGGAAGTCTGGCTTTGGCAGTAAAAAACCAAAAGTATGATAAACAGTACTCCTCATCATGGAGTATCTCAGACTTGCTATATGATGCATTTCCTTACAAGCCTCTAGAATATGAGTGGTAAAGTAGTGATGTAAACCTGATGGTTGTGAGAGGATGAGACAGACGTATGTGTCCTGAACAGAAATATTTGTCCAGGAACAGCACACCAGCTACGCTCTGTTACTTGTGGCACTGCTTGTGTTTTGCAGGCAGCGTTTCACAGTGGACTGAGTTGCGTATGTTTAAGTGCATGCATGCTTCATCCATCATGTAATGAGGGATGGGAAAGCCATTTTGAGGAAGTGAGCTTGATTCACTCTCTCTCTGGAGTACTTGTTGAAGGTGTTTACAGATGGTATTTATTTGGGAAGTGCAATCAGTAGAGACTGCTCTTTGGAGCCTCTCCTCCAACTGCTAGCTATTACAGGTGATTCTTTGATTTGTAATTGTGTGCTTCTTTTCTTAGCTCCCCATTTCTGCCCTGGTGTCCTTTGTGGAAGCTCTGGAGGTTGGCTACAGCAAACACAACCTAATGCATGCTGCCGATGTGACACAAACAGTCCATGACCTCCTTTTGAAGACAGGTGTAGTGGTAGCAGGTACAGGAGTTGGCATCCTTAGTACGTACTGAAATGGCAGCAGTTTTTGTTTGGTAAGGAGATGATCATTATCCACAGCAGAGCCATTTGTGCTGTAGAAACAATGTGCTTTGCAGGGGCTGTGCTAATGCAAGTAGGCATTTGGGATTCCTTGGAAGAATTGGGTGAGGGTATGGGTAACTGTTGTAACTGATGGGAGAGAGGATGAGTGAAAAGGCAAGCTGAATTCTCCCCTCTGCCATCAATCTGCTGGCTGAGTCTAGCAAGTCAGTTTGTTGGGATTTCATTTCCCTTTCTGTGAAGAAACAAATTGCCTGAGCTTTCTTCAGAATACAAAATGAAGTAATGTATTGCTTAACCCAGTTTGGCACCCCTTTTCAAGCTATTGCTCACCTTTTTGTCTTGCTGTCCGGTCCTGGGCGCTGTCTCTTGAGCCCACGTGGAGGTGGATCCACCTCCATGGGCTGCTGCTCCTCTGGAGGTGGATCCACCTCCATTGGCTCCTCTGCCTCTGTAGGTGGATCCACCTCCATCGGCTCCACTTTCCACCTCCTCCCCATGAGCTTCTGCTTTTTCAGGGGAGGAGGATCCATTCTTACGTGGCGCCTCTTCTCCTCTTGCTGTTGGTGTGGCAGTTGGAGGGCTCGGAACACGAGGCAGTGACATCAGCAGAGTTCCATGGCAACCCAAAAACAAGAGTTTTTGGAGTTGGGGCCTATGGCCTGAGAGTTGCCCCAATTTTGAAGGAGAAGGAAGGACCTGGAGAACTAAAGGACTGTGTCCTGGGAAGGGCTCATCTGTTGCATTGTGCTTGCCAGAGAGAATTAGTGGCACTTGGGCCAAAGGCCCCGTGGAGACTCCCTTTCTTCATCCCGTGCCTCCAATCCATTTGTACTGATGAGTGGGAGGTAGAGAGTCCTCTTCCTGGCAGCAGCTGGGCTCCTGCAAGTGGAGGCCAACAGTACCGTTGCCCCAGAGTAGTGGAGAGGGGACAGGCACTCCTCAGGAAGCCTAGGGACATGCAGTCAATAAAGAGCTGCTGAATTTGCAGGGTGAAGTGAGTTCTCTTTTGCTGAGCTTCCCTCTTGCCCCGTAGGCTCGGAGCGCTGAAGGTAATCCCAAAGAGAAGGTGATGGTGGGAGAAGGCTGGGATGCTTGTACAAAGCATCCGGGTACCACTGTGATGTTTTCCGTGGGGAAGGGAGTGTTGGAACTTTGCCTTTTCTTCTTTCTGAGCCTGTTTAGTCAGGCTCAGGTCTGTTGATAATTTCCTGGCCTGTGGGAATATTCTTTGAGTAAAAGAAAGAATAGAGTTCAGAACTTGAAAACGGTCATATCCTTGAAGTTTCCAGCTCTGTTGTAGCGTTCAGCTGCGAAGGTGGCGAGTTAGTAACATGCTGAAATCAATCATGAGTTTGCAGAGGGAAGAATGAAAATGTGGGTGCAGAGAAATGGAGCAGGAAATGTATCAGTGAGTGTGCGAGCAGGGATTTTCTATCACTGTTGAAGGTGACAATCAGCTGTGGAGTAATGACAGAATCACAGAATTGTAGGGGTTGGAAGGGACCTCCAGAGCTCATCGAGTCCAACCCCCTGCCAAAGCAGTTCCCTACAGCAGGTCGCACAGGTCGGCATCCAGGCAGGTCTTGGACATCTCCAGAGCAGGAGACTCCCCCACCTCCCTGGCAGCCTGTTCCACTGCTCCTCACCTCACTGCACAGAAGTTCCTTCGCACATTGGTGCAGAACTTCCTATGCTGCAGTTTCCGGCCGTTTCCCCTTGTCCTGTCTCCACTCACCACTGAAAAGGGTCCGGCCTCGCCATTCAGCCCCCCACACCTCAGATACTGATAGACCTGGATCAGGTCCCCTCTCAGTCTTCTTTTCTCCAGGCTGAACAGACCCAATTCACTCAGCCTTTCTTCATAGCAGAGATGCTCCAGGCCCTTCACCATCTTGGTGGCCCTCCACTGGACTGTTTCCAAGAGATCCCTGTCTTTTTTGTCCTGGGGAGCCCAGAACTGGACGCAGTGCTCCGGAGGAGGCCTTACCAGGGCAGAGTAGAGGGGGAGGATCACCTCCCTCGACCTGCTGGCCACGCTCTTTTTAATACACGCCCGGATGCCATTGGTCCTCTTGGCCACACGGGCACACTGCTGGCTCATGGCCGACCTGTCGTCCACCAGGACACCCAGGTCCCTCTCCGCAGGGCTCCCCTCCAGCAGCTCATCCCCCAACCTGTAGTGGTGCATGCAATTATTCCTCCCCAGATGCAAGACTCTACACTTGCTTTTGTTAAACCTCATCCGGTTTTTTTGTGCCCAGCTCTGCAGCCTGTCCAGGTCTTGCTGAATGGCAGCACAGCCTTCAGGCGTGTCAGCCAATCCTCCCAACTTCGTATCATCACAAACTTGCTGAGGGTGGCCACTATCCCCTCATCAAGGTCACTGATGAAGATGTTGAACAAGAGCGGAGCCAGCAGGTTACAGGCCTCCAACCGGCCTCTGCACCACCAACAGTGACCCTCTGTGCTCTGCCAGTCAGCCAGTTCTCAATCCACCTCACTGTCCACTCATCTATCCCACACTTGCTCAGCTTTGTTATAAGGATGTCGTGGGGGACAGGATCCAATGCCTTGCTGAAATCAAGGTAGACTACATCCACTGCTCTGCCCCCATCCACCCAGCCAGAGACAACATCATAGAAGGCCACCAGGTTGGTCAAGCACGACCTCCCCCTGGTGAACCCGTGCTGACTGCTCCTGATAACCTGCTCTTCTTCCAGTTGTCTGGAGATGACATCCAGCACCAGCTGTTCCATCACCTTTCCAGGGACAGAGGTGAGGCTGACTGGCCTATAATTGCCTGGGTCTTCCTTCTTGCCTTTTTTGAAGACCTGGGTGACGTTGGCTATCTTCCAGTCTTCAGGCACCTCCCCCGTCCTCCAAGACTTGTCAAAGGTGACAGAAAGCAGTTCAGCAATCACCTCTGCCAGCTCCCTCAGCACCCGTGGATGAATCCCATCGGGTGCCATGCATTGGTGAACATTGGTGTTGCCTAGGCGCTCCCGGAGCACCTCTTCCCTGACAGAAGGGAGGTCTTCCATTCCCCAGATCCTCTCACTCACCTCCAGGGTCTCAGATTCCCGAGGGGGAGCTTTTTCACTGAAGACAGAAGCAAAGAGGGCATTCAGTATCTCTGCCTTCTCAGCATCCCCCGTTACCAGAACACCCGCGTCACTTAGCAGGGGAGCCACATTCTCCCTAGTCTTCCTTTTACTGTTAACGTACTTGAAAAAACCTTTTTTATTATCCTTTATCCTAATATTCTGAGAGTTTTGAGATTTCAATTGAAAAGTGAGAGATCACAAGTAGGCTGAAAGAAACAGATTTCATTCCTGGGGAAATGGCAAGCTTCTCAATTTAGGCAGGATACCTGTGTCAGTACCACAAACACAGGTTTGCCACCAGTTATCTGCGCAGCAGCTTTGCTGAGGTGTCATATTTGTGCAGGAGACAACTGACTTGTGGTTCAAGCATGGCATGCAGTGGTGGAAAAAATGCATCATCAAAAGGAATGTATACAGGGGCATTACACATGTAAAGATTGGGAAGCAGTCCTTCTACTCTCGTCTACACAGGAAAGATACTCAGGGTACTGAATCCTTTTCATTTTTGGATAGTACAGTTTATTTATCAGAAGATAGGGAGGATTTGCACAAAGGCCACTGAGTGCAACAAGAATGATCCAACATGACCTTCATTTACAGAATGGAAGCATTCATTCCCCCCTTTTTCCAGCCCCAGATTTACATGTGTAATCCTGCAGATGGGATCTCGTGTCTTTCTTCTCTTAGAACCACACCCTGTGGCCAGACTGTGGGAGAACATGCCTGTTATGGTACATCCTCAGCAGTGACAGAGCAATGCAATACTTATCAGCTGTGCTGAGCAGGCATAAGCCTCAGGGCATCCTTCTTCCCTTTCTGTATTTGTAAGATAGTAAAGGTCATAAGCAGTGTGGAGTGGGCTAGAGGAAGTAGGATCCCTGAATATCAGCAAAGGCACGGACTAATTTTGCTCCAGGTGAGACGTGTGTGTCCTGAACAGAAATATTTGTCCAGGAACAGCACACCAGCTACGCTCTGTTACTTGTGGCACTGCTTGTGTTTTGCAGGCAGCGTTTCACAGTGGACTGAGTTGCGTGGCTGCATATTTTTCACTGTTCACAGGACTGTGTTTAGCCACTGTGTCAAAATACATGAAACTGTCTGCCATAGTTTGAGCTTGCCATAGTTTAAGTTTCATTTCAAATGCTGGTATTGTCTGAAACATAGCACAGAAAAGGTGATTTTCACCCTGAAGATGCGTGTTTGACTCATTTAAATGAGCTGTCAAATCCACCAAAAAGGCAAGATCTGTGAGCCGTTTTTAATCTTCATGTTCTGGCACAAATTTTCCTTTAGATTCCATAAAGAACTTGATTTCGCTTTGCAAATCATAAACTTTTTAGTGTTTTACCCTGTCTTAGCCACCTTCCTTCAGAAAAGCAAATGCTGACCCTGTAACTGGCATTCATACTTCTACTGAACTCCATGAATTGGAGATGATTCAGTGCCTTGGACTTCATGAAATTCACTGCCTTGATGAAGATTTGTATGAAATTATCCATTTTTAAAGCTTTTGCACATGAATTTTCTTGATCCCTGATATTTTACTGCGGCAGGGCTCAGGCCGCAGGCTGGACATGCCTGTTGAAGAAGAATATTCACACCAGCATATTGTTTTGAGGGGTACACTGTGCTTATCGTGGACTGCCATCTAGATAGCTCAAGTGTTTTAAACAGAAGGTTCACTTCAGGAATATCACTGCTTTGTCCAAGACAGAACATTTGTCTCGGGTCCAAGAGGGAAGCCATCTGTGTTTGTTGCACTGCTGAGTGAAACCTTTCAGGCTGTTATAGTCTCTACGGCCCAGAAGAGTCTGGGATTTGTATCTGCTGTGACAGATGGGCAATGTGAACATCATCCTTGCTGCCCCTGCAAAGGCTGGGGGATTGTTTCAAAAGGCTGGAAGATGATAATCCCATTTAGAGTGGCAAAAGAAATTCCTATGTCAAGGGTCAGTGGCTGCCAGGGTGCAGCACTGGGGAAAAGAAGAGTCACTTTCAGATGTCAAGTGAATGAGTGTAGAGGGTGCAGATTCTACATTTAGAGAGGTGCCTTAGCATTTTCTGTTGGCACGTGCCTGTGATTGATTCATCCTTCCTACTCCAGGCAGAGGAAACCAGGAGCAAGTAAGGGTGAAAAGGACATGATGAATACATTTTTTCAGACTTGTCTCTCCTAAAGACTCTGTTACATGTTTTCATCAATCCTTATGTAAGGAGGCTTTGAGGAGGGATTAGTTGTAGGGAAAAGCCCATGTCACAATGCAGTAAATGGCAAATGGCATGGAAACTATATTCCAGGCAGATGTAGAACAAAGCAGCAGTGGATGACTTCTGGCCCTTCATTTTTACTTAAATGAACAAGTCTTACATAGCATGGGATGAAGGTGAGAACTAGGGCCAAGTGAGAGGTGCCCTTTGTCTCTGGGAAATGTTTGTCTCCTTTCTTCTCTGAGGCATTAGAGTTGTTATACTGTTCCTTATGCTGGAACTGTCATTCTTCACCTTCCTCTCCAAAGTCTTGCTCTAGTTAGTGAAATTCTGAATCAGCTTCTTCCTGAACACTGAACTATGAGAAAACAGGCTGTTTCT